GTAGAACTCTAGTTGCTTATCTCGCGAGAATATTGGGGGAATGATCAAATAACGAAGGAGTTGGAGCAAAGTGATAGAAATTGCTCTACTTATAGTATATGTATATAGGTTAGAGGTATTGTGGCTGTTATCGGCATGAGTATCGCACATGATAGCATAGTGGATATGGATAGACGTTGGATACCGTAAGACAACTTGATCAAAAAATATGAATACCGGGCGTAATGGTATTATAACACCACTCTACCATGAACAATCAAAGGTATATTATTAATTAATGATATTTTGTCAAGTTGTTTTGCAAATGTTAAAAATTATAATTTAGCTCAATTTTCAATGTTTCTATTAAGATTTAATTACACATTTTTATGAAATGAAGGTATAAATTGGTTTATTAAATTAGTGTTTTATATTGCACGTTACTTTTTTCCACAAACATTAGTTTTATAATAATTTTTCTATTGAATAATTAACATGGATTACCTTCAAAATCTCGAGATTGGAAAAAGCTAGAAAATAATTATAAAGCGTAGGGAAGCATTCTGCTATGGTATTTTCTTACGCTTACTTCAAAGGGTGGGCATGGGTGATTTTATCTTTCTCAACCACACCCACACACTCACCCACCCCACACCCTTAAGATACTCTATGGATAATACCAGCGAAACATGTTGCTATAGCAATAAGAATATTATATAATAGAAGACAAGAGTTTTTACTACGACATATATGTATAGATTGTATTTTATTTAAGCTTAAATACAAACAAAATATAAATCAAACAGTTTCGTATACCGAGCATGATTTAATCATCTAATTGACTATTTTTTCCATTTTGATTATAGATCTCAGCTAGTGTCATTGGTTCATTGACACATTCTCTGCCAAAACCTAATTTATCAGATAGAATTTTCGAACTTTCTAAATCTAATTTGTTAAATTCATAGTTGGCAATCAATCGTCCTTTACGTAATAAAGCTGGATCAATTGTTGTCAGATCACAGTTGAATGTTGCAATGATTTGTTGATGCATTGCATCACCTAATAAACCATCGGATCTATCAAACAACAAGAGTATGTGATGAATGTAGAAAGTAAAATGAGATTACTTACAAATTTAAGAGATTAGCAACAGCTTGTGATGGTGCTGCAGATTCATTTCGATCTTTGATGATATTTTCTGCATCTTCGATGATAAGAATAGCATCTTGATATTCCATAAGAAAAGGAAGAAATGCTGGTGATGCAATTTCTTTTGCCATATCTGGTGGAATATAAATCAATGTTTTATCTTGAACTTCTTGAATCAGATATCGAATATAATGAGTTTTTCCTATTAAATAAAAACAATAAATTACTATCGTGAAATCTAATTTAGTTTATATTTACCTGAACCTGGAATACCGTGCAGAAGAACGATGCCTTTTGATTCTTTTTTATTTAAGTTTGTGAGAATTTTATCATGTGTTGAAACAAAATTGGTACCATAGTGAAGAGCAAGATCAGTAATCAATGGTTTTTTTTATTTTAATACCACGAAGATAATAACCACAATCATTTTTACAAACCATTTCTAAAGTACATGATTTCGATGAAAATACAGTCATTTGAGAAAAACGCTCTGATAAATCGTCTACAAATACATCATGTTTGGGTAAATAATATATTTTTATTTCTTCTGTAGTTAAGAAATAATTATCAGCATGATCAACTTTTAAATTATTTGGATTTTGAACTTCACAATTCAAGGATGCATCACTAAATTCAATCATGATGCCATTACCAAGATCAGTTACACGTGAGTAAACATATTTTTGTTTTGTTCGTTGATGACGTCGTCGTAAAACACAATCTTGATTAATATCATGTTTCAATTCATCACGAATATAATCAAGAACAGTTGTGACATGGTAAAGAATATCTTCATCATTGTTGGTACATTCCAAAGTGTTTGGATACGTATGATACTTAGCAAGAAAAAGCCGAACAGTTGGTATAGCACCATAATGATTTTTTTGGCCAAGCTCGACAAGAGCTTCGACTGGTGTATTAGGACATGCACCTGCACATGGTGAATTATCGTTTTGTTCACTTGTTGTATCAGTTTTATCCCGCATGGTGAGAAATGATAAAATAAATGATAATATTCACGTTTTTATAGCATCGACAAACGCCCCCTATATTGCTTCATTTTTGTGAAAGAACAAGAAAGAAAATAAATGACGTTGTGCAAGAACTGAATAATACGGTAGGCGTTTTGTAGTCATTGACTCATAATGACTGTAAAGCACGCATGAGTCACATCGTTGGTGACAATCTGATGGTGTAAGATGACAGAATAAAATACGCATGACCTTGATCTTTCATGATTAGGGTAGAATTGTCGTAATGTTTCACCAGTGCATTATTCATGGTATATGACAGTTGTGTTTAGTTTTAAAAAAAGTTTACGTGCTAAACTAGATATTTTTTAAATTTGTACGGAAGTTGGGTGTGGATGCAGGCTTGGATATTTTTTTGATTCATTGCCCACACACAAAATTCATTATAACACTCTATGCACATATTGTCAATGATATTTTACATTAAACTAAGCAATAATGATTGATTAGCATACATCATCAGCAGTTACTCGTACTAACAACATCTTTATTTCATATGTAATCACAATAGTTTAGTACCAAAAATACAGTAGGATATATTCCTTAAATGAAAAAAGAATATGTTTACAGATGTTACTGCAAATGTTCAGTATTAACAATACGAGCTCTTAGAGTAGAGAATCTTTTTGATTAACTTCGTCACTAGGAACAACGTTCAATAACATCAGCTCCAAATCGAAGACTTCATAAAAAATTACCATCATTTTTGATCATTTGTTTTGTAGTTGTGTAACTCGATCAACAATACAAATATCTTTTCATGTAATATTATTGTACTAAATAATCCACAATGTATCACCTAAATAACGAAAAACGTTCTTCTATACAAAAATCAAAACATACGCATTAACTATTTTACACGCTCATAATTACTTAAATTGACTGATTCTATACTTACAGTTTGTTTTAGGAAATTTTGTGTTTCATGATTAAAAGGTCAACTAGTTTGCACTTAGTTCAGGACTGATAAACTTTTTGAGCAGTTTTTTGAACAAACTGAGTCTCTTTAAAGAGTTCATCTATATGAAATGATCGTCACGAAAAGTTACACAGATCATCTTCAAGATCCTCTATAAGACTGATTATGCGGCTATCAATGGTACTCTTCTGTATGATTCGAATAATTGGTAGAGAATATTTACATAAAGATTTCTTTTAAAATTCTATAAGAATTTTATTTAATTGTTCTTTAATAAATATTATTGAAAACTTTGATAAATTCTTTGATATTCTCAAGGAAGAACTACTTTTGAAAAACACAACAACTTGATAATATTTCGGAGAAAATTTCTATTTGAAAGTTTCATTTTCTAAAGATTCAATAAAACCAGATGGTATTCAAGTCTAACTCAACTACGAAATGCGATGCAAAGCTCGATATCAAAATGATGATTTCAAAATTATCCTAGAGTCGAGTTCGAGATGGTCGCGGTATAAAATGACAAGTTTTATGCGTCGAGGTAAGTATATAAGAAAGAAAAAAAACTCGCGAAGAAATATAAAAATGCTTTGCTTCACATTGCAAGCGTTATTTTTGATGAATTTGATTTAAATCGAAACATTTTTATATTGAAAAATAATTTTGTTTGTATTGAATGTAAGAACGAAAAAGAAAAAAACATATTTTCTTTTTTTTTGTTTCTAAGGATATATTTACTGATAAGTATATTCACATGAATAAAAGTGTAAACATATACAATTTGACTTTTTTTTTAGAAAAATAAAATCTATTCAAATGAGTGCCAATGATCCTGGACATATCAGTAAGTTAATTTGTTACAAAATTTCATATTATTTTTAATAGAAGAATTTGTTAAAGATAATCTTGATAAAAATCAAGAATTAGATTTGAAAAATTTGTGGAAATTAATTATTGAAAATAAAGAAAGAATATTTGATGAAAATCATGAAAAAGAATTATTTTATGCATTTGGTTGTGATAATCCTGATGTTCTTTTATTAAGATTTTTAAGAGGAAAAAAATGGAATATTAATCTTGCTTTTGAACAACTTATTGAAACAATTAAATGGAGAATTCAATCAAATGTTAATCAAATTGTATTTAATGGAGAAAATCATCTTTCATATGAAGAAATTTTAACAGGAAAAACTTTTTATCTTGGCCAAGATAAATTTGGTCGACCAATAAATTATGTTTCAGTTAAAGATCATATTAAAGGACAATTTCCATCTGAATCAACAGAAAAATTAACTATATTTACAATGGAAACAGGAAGAAAATTATTAAAATATCCAAATGAATCAGTTACAGTTATATTTGATATGAATAAATTTTCAATGAAAAATATGGATTATCAACATGTCAAATTTCTTATTAATCTTCTTCAAAATTATTATCCTGAATGTCTTGGTCTTGGACTTATTGTTAATGCTCCTTGGTTATTTACTGGTTGTTGGCATATTATTAAACCATGGTTAGATCCTGTTGTTGAAAGTAAAATACATTTTATTAAAAATCTTGATGATTTAACTAAATTTATTGATTTATCAAATTTATCTAAAAGATTTAATGGATATCATGCAGATTTTAATTATATTCCACCAACTGAACAAGATAACAGAATTTTATCTACAATTCGTGAAGATTATTATGGAAAAGCAAAAGCAAATGAATATTTTCAACAAACTTCGATGAATTATCTTCAAATAACTTTAGAATGGATAAATGAAAATGATGATCAAATAAATTTATTAGAAAAAAGAAAAAAAGCTACAGAACAATTAAAATATGCATATCAACAATTTATACCATATATATCAACTAAAACACATTATCATAGAATTGGTTATATAGATGAACCTAGTTTTGATATTACTTTTCAAAATATTCAAAAAGCACTTGAAGATAAAATTGTTTTTTTTTAAATTTTTTTTTATTTTTCAAAAACAAATTTTATCTATTTAACAAACATATTAATCACAAAAATAGATTAATATTAAAATTTAAACATGATTATTTTCTACACTATTTAAAAAGGAACTGAGTTGGATTGAGAAAGAAAAATCATAATCGAAAAGTTGGGTCCAATGTTTATAGATCACAGAATTGAGCACCTTTTCGAGTTGAATTATCCGGCTCTGATTGTACATAACTAGCTGAAAATGAGCGAATCCTATAGTTATATCAAATTTAGTCGCTCTTACGATTGTTTGTTGTTATTATGATATATGAAGTTATTTTCTTGTTTATTAATTATTCTATAAACAAATAAGATAAACAATGTCATTTAATTGTAAATATAATATAGAATTTTTTACTAATAAGAAGAAAATAAAAGTACAAAAATAATCTAATGGGAAAGAAATTAGGCGTTAACATTTAGTCTTGATTTTTTAATATGTACGAATAATATATTATGATTGAGAGATTTTTGTTAGTAAATATATAAAGATAAAATAAAATCTAAAATATTTCTTATTGAAGAAAAAAATGATTGATATAATAATAAGTAGATCTGATGCATCATCAAGTGGAAAATTAAGTTTAATTGCATTTAATAATTATCTTAATGATAAGCTTTTACCATTTCAATGATATAATATTCATGTCTATAATGTTGAAGAATTAATAAATAATAATTTGATTTAGAATATCGTATATTTTTTCTAAATTTCTTTTTATTTTTATTATGAGAGTTTTAAATGAAATCTCACGTGTGAATTAAAGATAGGTTTGACTTTATAGATCATGGCCGACACAATAAGTAGAATAGGATTCTTTCATTTACAATATATATCATAAAAGATCGATCATCATTTATAATTTAATACTAGAAAGATTACATAAATAATTTTTTCTATTAAAATATTTCTAAAAAAATTTGTTTAAGTAAATAATTGGAGAAAAAGAAAAAGAATTAGATGCCTCCACGCAGGATCGAACTACGGACCTCCAGTTTACAAGACTGGCGCTCTACCACTGAGCTATAGAGGCGTATTGACCTTAAATATATTAATCAAATTAATTTATTTCGATATATTTCAATAATTATATATTAGATTAAAAATTTAGAAAAATTAGATTGGCTTTTTTTTAATTGAATTTATTATCTGGAATGAACTTTTTTAAAAATTCGAATATATTTATTTGAAAATCATGTTCAACAAACTAAAAATAATTCTTTAAAATTTTTGTTTTTCAATAAGACAAACATAAATATTTTATTTCGAATAATAAAATCATATATTTGAAACTGTCATATTAGTTTCTAAAGAAAAGCTTTTATTAATAAAACAAAGGAGGATTTTTACAGTGATTTATATAATAGATAAAAATGTTTTTTTTTATGAAGAAAGCTGAGCAAATTTAGAATTTTTTATTATAAAATTTTATCAAAAAAAAACAATAAAACATTCATAGAAGAAAGTATAAGTTTGGAATTCTCATCACCAATGAATAATTTAAGCACGTTTTGATGCTTGAAGATGTGCTTAGAAAAAAAACAATAGTAGAATTCTTATTCCTAAGTATTTCTTCGATCCTATGATCATCACAGCACCGTTTTAGTATCTTGTAATAAATTTTATTGGTAATATGTAATAGTTATTCTTTTGGTATATATATATCTCTGACATAGTATATTATTCTATTTGGATAAAGTTTTGTATAGTCCACCCTCTTATTGTCACATCTATCCCGCTCTTTCCGTTTCTTC